ACCTGGGGTCAGGAGGCTGAGCAACTAGCTGACAGGAAGTGGGAGGGAGGAACTAAATGTAGTGAGGGTGGGCTGAGCAGAAGGATGGCCTCTTTTTCTGGTGACTGTAGTAAGGAGAGAAGGTGAGCTACTTGCTACTCACCCCTCTAAGCTAGTAGGATTTCACCTCAACCTTTGAATCCTGAGTTCTATAGAAGGATAGAGATTTAGATAAAGTTCCCTTTAGGAGCCATGAGAGGGCCAGTGCCTGAGGGAACAGAATTCCTGCCTGGCTGTGGTCTGTACAGCTGAACCACTGCTGATAGCTGTGGTTGCAATTGCCAGTTGGGAGAGCTGCTTAAGGTTCAGCCACTGTATTGAATGCAAAACAACACTATGAACATTCCTGGGGTTTTATTGCTGTCATAAAGGTATTTTCTTTTCTTTGTTTATTTCATTCTTGAATTCTGCCCAGTCTTTTACCATATCTGCCCCCGCCACACACACACACACACACACACACACACACACACACACACACACACACACACACGCACGCACACCAAGCCTTGGGACACAGGCCTAGGTGTTCTTCCACGGGCCTCTCCTGTTTTCAGAATCTGTACAGTCTGCTCACGGTTCTGTCTTTTTACTTCATTTTCTTTGTGATTCTAGATTGTTTCTAGGATTTTAGTGACAGCAAGGCATGTCATTTGAAAACTACAGTAAAAACACTCGGACAAGGGGAATTTTTTACTTCAGAAAACCAACAAAGACCATTCTTTGTATAGATGTGTACTGAGCTTGATTTATCCTGTCCCAGTGGAGAATTCACTCATTCTGCAAGCGATCTGATAGCTCTTTATCAAAGGAGACGAGTATAAGAAACTTGCAGACATTTCTTCCCTAATGTACCTTAATGTTTGAGGGCTCTCATAAATGGTTTATACTAAATGTGTCACAAATGTCTGAATACTTTTCTAATTTAAATTCTAAAACTGGGTGTTACAAATATAAACATTTTATCATCTGAGAAAAACAGAAAATAACACATTTTACCTGTACTATCTTAGGGTTACAGTTGCTATAAACTGTGAAACACCATGACCAAGGAAACTCCTAGAAAACAAAATATTTAACTGTGGCTTACTTGGAGTTCCAGAGGTTTAGTGTGGTGGACCAGCCCCCACACTTATTTACTCCAGGAACTCTTGAGGAATGAGGGATAAGAGACTTAGTTAGAAAAAGAGGGAGAGAGAAAACACAGGATAGACTCAAGTGGGCCTGGATCCTTATCCAAACAGGCTCATAGCTTTATTCCAAAGGGCTATTTATAACAATGCCAAGGGGTGGAGCAAAAGACCTCCCCCTTGTTGTCACACCCTTACAAACACCTGGTACCCAGATCCATGGTCCAATCAACCGCCCATGCAGTCCTGCTGGGTACAGCCACTAGGAAACCTAATTGGCTCCAACATCGGAGTAAATGAGATAAGTAAGCAGGCCCCAGCATTATCATCATGGAGCATGCATACAGGCACTGGAGCAGTAGCCGAGAGAGAGAGAGAGAGAGAGAGAGAGAGAGAGACAGAGAGAGAGAGAGAGAGAGAGACTCTGTGCCTGTGCTTGAGTGGATTCTGAAACCTCAAAACCCACCCCCAGTGACACACATTCTCCAACAAGCCACACCTCCCAATCCTTTTAATCCTTTTAAGTAGTGTTACTCCTGCTAAGCATTCAAATATATGAGCCTATGGGGGCCATTCTTATTCAAACTACCACATGTACACATCTGTCTTAGTTAATATTCTATTGTTGTGAAAAGATGCCATGACCAAGGCAATACTTACTTAAAAAAAAAAAAAATCCAGGCATGGCACTGAGAGCTTTACATCCTGATCCACAGGCAGCAGGCATTGAGAGAAAGAGAGACTCTAGACCTGGCACGGGTTTTTAAAACCACAAAGCCCACTCCCAACAACTCACCTCCTCCAACACCACACATACACACACACACACACACACACACACACACACACACACACACACACACGCAGAAAGAGAGAGAGAAACACACACACACAGTGGCGTACACACATAATATCTGAAAAACAAAAGAAGGAGAAAGTAAAGTCCCTGTTTTTTTCCCATCCCTGTGCTTAGCACCTGAAGGAAATGAGTCACCTGAACATTTGCATGCTATCACCTTTTCAGTGTAAATTTCTTCATCCTGTGGTTTTAGCACATGTAGTGGCACACCTATGTTTTACATGTGAACACATTGGGAATTAAGACTTTTGGCATATAGATCTTAGCAAGGAGGGACATACTTGCCTGCTCTTTGGAAGGTTTTCGCTGCCCCTGGGGATTTGGCAAGATGCTGGAGAAATGCTAACTTACATCACTGAGAGACTGTATTTTATACCCCTGTCTCACATGCTCTCTCTCCCCCTCCCTTCCTCCCTCCCTCTCTGTCTCTCTGTCTCTGTCTCTGTCACACACACACACACACACACACACACACACACACACACACACAAACACACACAGAGTCCCCTCAGGAATGTCCTCTATCTTCACAAGAATGAAAAGTATACTGTGTTTTATATTTTAATACACATATTTTGAAGCATAAAAATATTTTAAAAGAATATTCAGGCTTATATTTCTTTTTATTTAGAAGTATTTACATCCATGAGTTATAATTTTTAAAACTTCTTTAAATATTACTTGTATTTATTATTAAATATCAGCTTGTGATACTTAAAAAGAAATGGCAGTACAACATCCCAGTTGTATTTTAAATTAGAAGAGAAGTATATTAAATTTGTGTGGAGAGTTCTTCAGCTACAGGCAAAAAACTCAACAGTAATTCTTCTCCTAGACCAAGACTTTGAACCCTAATAGCCTGCTAACACGTAAGAAACAGGTTCGAGAAAAGAAAGGAATTGTTTTATGTTTGTTTAACTATTTTAGATAAATGTATTTTTTTATTGTTTGGTGTCCAATACTGAAAACTAAGAGTATAAATGACAAGAACATGCATGAACAAACCGTTGCTACAAAGCAAAGAGTATATTTATTTTCTTTCTAACTGTGAAACCCTGACTGTCCTATGGCAATTTTCGGCTCTGCTAATTGAAAGGTAAGTAGATGTCCTTTCTGACTTTAGTGGGAATATCTTCAGTCCATATAATCCACCATGCCTGCAGCATTTCAAGAGCTCCCTGACAGAGCTGGCTATTTCCTCTGTACAAATGAAATTTCCGTGGCCCACTTAAAATAAAAAAGTTCACTATTAAAAATCAAATGCCTTTCATAATATTGACATTTTTTGTAATTTAACTAAAATATAATTACATCATTCCTCATGTTCTTTTTGTCTCTCCCCACCTCCTGTGTCTGACACTCCCCCCCAAATTCATAGCCTCTCCTTCTTTAGCTGTTATTTTTATATATACTTAAAAAGAAATAAACCTACACATGTAACTTGTTGATTCTATCCAGTGTTGCCTGCATGTACATGTTTCTAGGGCTGCTCCTTGGTGTGGAATAACCAATCACAAGGATCTTCCCTGGGGAAGATTTTCAGGAGTTGCTAATTGCCTATAGCTCTTCATCTAGGGGTGAGGCTGCTCAGGTTTTCCCTATCTACAATGGTATGTCAACTCTTATTGGAATTGTTGAGATCTTGTTTAGGCAGCCATGTTGTTGAGATTTCATGGATGCCACTCCCTGTTATATGCAGAAGACACCATCTAACAGAAGACTTCCTGGTCCTCTGGCTCTTACAATATTTCTGTGCCCTCTTCCATAATGTACCCTGAGTTTTGGGTACAGACATTGTATTGTTGGTATATCAACTGAGGCTAGACATAAATCTGTCACTTTTTCTCCACATTTTGACTAGTGTGGCTTTCTGTGATGATCTCCTGCTGCTTCAAAATAAAGCTTCCTTGATAAACGGTGAGGTCTACACTTACCAGTGAAAATAAAGATTAGTATTTAGAATGTAGTTAGGAATCATGCTGGTTTAGGAAAGTGGCAGTAGATTACTTTCCTTCTCTATTCATAGTGTGGCTTTATTCACACATTCATCCAATTTTACTTATTTATTCTGAAGTGTTTTCTGAGCACCCCAACTAGCCAAGCATGATGCTAAGAACACAGAGAAAAGATGTGTCTCCATGATTAAAAAAACAGGCTGAGGCAGAGGCCATTACGATTCAGTGTGTGGATGCTACCAAGGGAACACAAAGAATATTCAAGGTCAACTCACACAAAGATGATGAAAGTGTAGTTTGCTTGTAGCTGATATTTTGCCCCCATACCCCAGAAAAGCCGGCTGCTCCTGATCATTGACAAGCACTGTTTCCTTAAACTGGATATAGTGTCCATTCGTTGAATGCCATGGCTTTGAAAATGTCTTCTAATAACTTCAATAGAAAAAATCCAGTGATTCATCATCAATTACTCAGTACCTTAAAATTCTCATTTTTAATGATATAGTGCAAAAAACCCCTGCCTTATCCCTCATCTTCTTGAAGAATTTAATCAGTGTGACAAGGGTCAATGACAAGAGCTTTCTCCCTATTGTGTTTTTGAAGGGTCTTAACACATCTAGACAGTCTTCATTTTGAAGTCTCCCTTCTCACATAGTGTAACACATAACCTTGAACTCAACTCAGCCTAAAAAGGAAAGTGCTGTGTTGGTAAATTAATCAGGAGCACTCTAGAAGATCTAATTTAAAAAGTACACATTAGCAGTTTATCTCATAGTATGAATTCCTAATCAATCAAAGTACATAATTGTGTAGACTCAAATATTATCATGAAGTCTAGCCATTCAAGTGTGTAACTAAAGCAAACAAACCTCAATTAAGCACACATCTCTTGTAATAGTATATATATATGTATAAATATATATATATATTTATAAGTATATATAAATATACACATGGTTCAGAGAAAAACATGAATTGTTTTTTAAACAAATTGTCTTCTTGTTTTCTTGAAAACAGTGGCAACAAGTTGGCTACTTCAAGTGGTGACTCCACAGTTAAATTATGGGACCTTGCAAAAAATGAATGCATATTGACCTTTGAAGGACACAGTCACGCAGTATGGTCCTGCACATGGCACTCTGGTGGTGATTTTGTGGCTTCTGCCTCACTGGATATGACTAGTAAAGTCTGGGATGTCAATAGGTAAGAACCACTTTTCAATATTATCAAGCTATATTGATATACATTTCATGAGTAGAGTGTATTATTTTCCTCAATACTGACACTGAGAAACATTACCAGAAACTGTTCACTGCTAAGATTACAGGGAGTGATGCAAATAATCTTTATGAAATCCATTTCCAACTCCATTGATCTTTGTTGATAAAATAATTCCTTTCTGAGTGTTGAGAACAAGATCAAGCCTTTGTTAAGAGATTAGGGTTTCGTCAACTGGAAGCTGCTTATTAGAAACTGATAGAAATTAATATTTATTTTAAGTAGATTTTTTTTTGCTCTGCTTAGCACAGGGTTGCTATATCTCTGCACTGTGGAAGTTGGTTTGGCAGTCATGAATATAATGGAGTTGGCTTATGCTCAATTTTTATGGATTCCTTGGAATGTTTTCCCAAACCAATAATTTTTAGTAATTTACAAAATGTAAGAAATTATAGACATGAAAGTTTTATATTTGTCTTAATTCAAAACAGACATCCATTTCATTTGCAGTATCAGGAACAGTATTATAATATGGTAAACACAAGAAAGTTGAAAAAATGGTACATTAGGCTATTATCAAATATCTTAATTGTTTCAGCTTAGAGGTTGTTTGTCAGGCTTTGGGCCTTGTTTGCTGTTGAAACAATGTAGAGGTATTGTGGGATTTCTTAAGGCAACTCCATGTAGTTAAAAGGGGGGTTTATTTTGGGGTAATTTACAACAAGTAAAAGGATTGGTTACAGGATCTGGGAGAGGTGAAGTGCAGTCCAGGGGTGTTCTCTGGAGAACTTTGCTCAGTCTACCATCCAGCATCCAGGATCACCAGGAGCCAAGAGAGCCAGCACATCTGGATCTCAGGTCTTAAGGCTTCCCATCTTGGCTCTGCCTTTGGGGCAGACCATAGGTAGGCGTGACAGTTACCACAAGCCTCTGGGGGTAGTATTTACAGGGCAAAGCTGGAACAGCTACCTACTACATATAGGTTCCAAATTGTGGATGATAACTCTTGGAATGTTAGGCCAACTATTGCCATCCTATATCCAACATAACTTATTTTAAAAAATAAGAAAATTATGGAGCCATCATAAAGGCTGAGACTTAGAATTACACATACAATTGGTCCCTTAAACAGCTGTCCTCCATCCTTCCTGATTATGAGTGTCATCTTGAGAGCAGAGGGCAACTGGGTGCTTGGGACCATAATTAAGACTCTCGGGAAGATTCAGCTGAAGGTTATCTCAAGCTCGGCATATAAATGATTTCCAAAGGCTGTGCATCGGTTACTAAACTCCTTTCTCTCTGCGCTGTGCTTTGTTTCCTTGATGCTACTGCTGGGCTCTGTAAACTTCACTGTGGCTTTGCTGGATGGCATGTCTAGCTGGTGCATGCAGTAGATTATGAGTCTGACAATGGGGGAGGCCTTTCTTCTTACTATTCCTTTCCTCTGAGCTTATTGTAGACACTATCACTCCACTGGCTGTTCTTATCACAGCAGCAGAATCCAGTGACAGGCTTCTTTCTATACAAGCAGCCTCACTGGGGCACCATTTAGAGAGGAAAACCTCAGGTAGCAGATATTGCTTCTCCTTGGTCTGTATTTCCCATCTCTCTCAGAATATATCCTCTAGGCAGAGAAACCCCATCACCAGCATGGAAATGCTATCTCCCCTGAGGAATGACTTCAGCCACTTCAACTACGGAAACCTCATTCTTCAATTCTGGGGTTTTTGTGAAAGCTGAGCATTGATAATTTCTACAGTATTTCCTTTGTGATTTCAGTGTTTAGGTTGCTGGGTCTTCCCTGATGGAGCTTTGTCTGTCCCTTAGCACTTTCTTCTTATTATTACTTAGTGAACAACTTACATAGTTGTCAGTCCTGTCTGGTAAGCTTTGACCTTTAAGGTAATGGGAGCCCTTACTAAACCTTGACAGATTCAAACATAGGCAGATAAACAGCACAATCCATCTGAAAGGAACAACTAACTAAACTTTGCATATCCTGTCTGAGAAAGCATGACTCTGAGTGATAGATTTCTACCTAATTCTATCTAAGACAGTTGTTTTCTCAGTGGGGCATTATTGTATTTGTAATAATCAATTGCACGAAAAATTCCAAGTCTATTATGCTTCTGTATCATATGATCAGATTTCATTAATATTGACATTACTGAGTCATTGGAATTTCAGCGTAATTATGTAAATTTAGTCTTTTTCACATTTGACTTAGATGAAGATCCTAATACAAGACTGTAGTGCATTGAAAATATATCTTCAAATTTATTAACCATTCAGAATGTGTAAACCCAGCTATGGCTAGAAACTGCTTCCCAATGATCTTCACTCCCCTTAGAACAATTTCAAACACTGTGATTTGACAACTTTCCCTTTGACTCTGACATAAATACTGTCATCTCATTGATACCCAGTAGATATTGACATAGCAGATCAAAATTCCTCTTGATTAATGTCAAAATCCTCTAAATTTAAAATTTTCCATCAATATCAGGACCTCAATCAAATTCATCACCAGTGACAAAAACTGATACTGACTTTGAAGCTGAACTACTGCCCACAGGGACATGTAAAGGGAGACATTGATTACATCTGAAGGGCTGTTGATACATCTTTCAGAGTTATAATCAAAACATCAAGTTCTGATTTGTAATTACCCAGGGATCAGAGTCGTGTAGATATGTCTAAACTCTGAGAGTCTTAGTTTAAAATCTTAGGTTGCTTGAAATGGCTTAGTGACTTCAGGGGAGAGTCTTGCCTTGGTAATTTGGGTGTTGGCAGAAACTGTGTCTTGTTGTGTAGCTTACTGTTCTCTGGATGCCCTGTGGTTCTTAAGAATGGAATATTTTGGACTGATATGTAATGTTGTCATTCAACTGGCTGTTTGCCAAAATGTTAGATCACTGGGAAGCATAACCTATATAACATTCCAGATAAAGCTTCATATTTGCTGAGCAACATTAAGATTTTTCTGAACTCTATCTAAGGACTCAGTGGGGGTAAAGTCTCATTCTACAGAGGTTCTGTAGCATATTTTGATGGTCTTCCCAAGGATCACAATATGAACTGATGGATGTATGTGTTGCAGCTAGACATCATTGTTTCCTACTTTGTTTTATAATATGCTCTTTAAGGTCAGTCACTAAGCACTCATACACACTTGAGACACACACACATGCACACACACACTCACACATACAAACATATGTGCGTAAGCACATACATATTCATACACACAGCACATGCACACTCACATGTACATACAAAGACACATACACACAACCGCACACATGCACACACACATACAATGTATCCTGGACACAGAGTGCTTGGCATATGACTGTTTACTTGTGTGAATGAATAAAGAGTCATCCACAAGTACCCATGAAATGTGCACAGTAGGAGTTTTTTACCCTCCAGATCCATATCAAGTTGTGTTATAATTTTCTGTCTTATCTTGCATGAATTTATAAAATGAGAAAAATTGTGTAGAAGTGTTAAAAATGATCTCAGTCACCTGTAAAAAATAATTTATGTTTCTATTCCTAGGCATTTACATATAACACCAATGAATAAGATGACTGAACAGTGTTGGGCTGTTACAGATATACAGAGACTTTCAGACTCAATCACTATCCTCAATGAGTTTATAAGTCATTTAGGGATGTAGGGATTTTGAAGCAATCATAGAATTTGCAATGCATCTGCTCTCCGTATTATTGCACCTAGTATTCTGGGAGAGTCCTGGCTGTTTTTCTTCCAAGGTAACTGTATTTGGCTAAGCAGCTTCATCACCTTGTCACTTTGGTGTTTGGAAGGCAGACCATGTGCTGGTTCCACTTGTCGCTGGAAGGAAAGGGGTTGGAAATGGCCAAAATGTCGCTGAGTGTAGCTGCCTCAGCTACTTCAACCAGACAGCACAAGGGCAGGGACTCAGCAGTTTGTAGCAAGGATAGAAAGGAACTGGGGTACTTGTAAACTTCAACAGCTTCTCCCTCCCAAATGCTGGGAAATAAATGTAATGGCCTGAATGCTCTGTGTATTGTTTCAGATGCCCTTGAAATTCTGTGGAGAAAGGAAACAAAACAAGTTAAGAACCATGTTCAAGTTGTGATTTTTCTCTGTATTTTGTTACTAGGAAGCAGATTTACCAGAAACCTGGGTTTGTAGGAAAATCATGTTGACAAAAAAACCATGAGCCTACAGTTAGTAACTTACCCATTCTTAAAATAGTCCTTGAGGCCCCAAATGTATATCCACAGGAAGTGGACTTCTGGTGTTCCCTAGTCACAAGGGAAAGGAAGAGCACCGAACCCACGTTAGATACAGCCATAGAGAATAACGGATACAGGAAAACCTTCTGTGATGCAAAGGCAGGACACATGCAAGAAAAATGCATTCCAAACCAAAGCAAACCCTGAAACCACAAAACAGACATTCAAACAGATGTGGGAAAAGTGTTCCTCTTGTGAGCATGCCATGGTTCCCATAAGGAACTTTCTTCAGTGCCTTGGAGAAGCTCCTTGACTTGCTTTGTTAGGCAATCCACAAAGCCAATGGTTTGTGTTTCTCACGCTCTTTTCCTCTGTTAGTTACCATTTGTACAGCTGCTAGTCCTTCCTTGCTCCATCATTGTACACTACATTTGTGGTGTGCAGACAGCAGAAACTTGGTTTTACCTGGTTGATCGGCAGAAGTGATCACTCTGACCGCCTGGGAGCAGCTTCAGTACCATCCAGAGAACACGGACTATAGAATACATGGCAGTGGCTGATTGTGATCTGGGGTTGCCTCCATTTCTAGATTGGGAAAACAGAAGCAAATACTTCGTATGTGGAGGGAAATGTGGCATCATTATTTGGTGGCCAGAAAGCTGTAGTAGAGATGTTAGTATTCATTTGTTTGCTCCCTTCTCTCACATTCACTAGAAACATGGCCATCTAAGTGCTATTTCTCAGCTTTGCTATTTTTCA